CGACAGAATAGCATGTCCATTGCATGTATGCTGTAAGTCTGCAGACCTTGTACAAATTATACAACCTAGAACAGAATAGCATGTCCATTGCATTACGCTGTGAGTCTGCAGACCTTGTACTAATTATACAACCTAGGACAGAATAGCATGTCCATTGCATGTATGCTGTGAATCTGCAGACCTTGTACAAATTATACAACCTAGGACAGAATAGCATGTTCATTGCATGTATGCTGCAAGTCTGCAGACCTTGTACAAATTATACAATCTAGGACTGAATAGCATGTCCATTGCATGTATGCTGCGAGTCTGCAGACCTTGTACAAATTATACAACCTAGGACAGAATAGCATGTTCATTGCATGTATGCTGTAAGTCTGCAGACCTTGTACAAATTATACAACCTAGGACAGAATAGCATGTCCATTGCATTACGCTGTGAGTCTGCAGACCTTGTACAAATTATACAACCTAGGACAGAATAGCATGTCCATTGCATTACGCTGTGAGTCTGCACCCCTTGTACTAATTATTCAACCTATGACAGAATAGCATGTCCATTGCATGTATGCTGTGAGTCTGCAGACCTTGTACAAATTATACAACCTAGGACAGAATAGCATGTTCATTGCATGTATGCTGTGAATCTGCAGACCTTGTACAAATTATACAACCTAGGACAGAATAGCATGTTCATTGCATTAAAGTACTTACTTTCGTTTGTTTCGAATGAAGATGTAAATTAACACGACAACAACAAAGCCAAGTACCAGGACAACAATAAACACTGCCAGAAGTACATGAGTATCTATGAGAAAACATAGTTAAATAGTTGATGCCCTGTAATCTCAAATAACCAACTTTCTTTTGACAAGAATATGTGCAGCACATTAAATTAGGTGGGACATCAATATTTCTGGAAATGAACCCTAATTTTGCAGCCAACTGAAACAATTTTAATTTTCAGTTTTTACTCAAAAATTAGATCATTTTTGTCCCAATCTGAAGAGAAGTGCAGATTATAAAAAGAACTATTTTGTGATAAGAAGGAGGAACTGGTGGTGACTGGGGATTATGCAAATGAACCAAATAAATTATTATGCAAATCAATAAATTATTATTATTCATACATTTGGTTTCATTATAATGTGATGATGAGTAATTATTATGCAAATTAGATAATTATTATAAATGTATATAAACCCAAAACTAATTAGATCATCACAATGTCTTATATATCTACCAAAATTCATTGAAATAAGATGATAAGTATATGAGATATTGATTTTAGTAAAATTGATTAATTATGCAAATTGGGTAATTAGATGTGAATATTATTAACCCAAAATCAATCAGGTCTGTGCATTGTTCTATGACATCTATGTACCAAGTTTCATTGAAATGTGATGATTTGTACTTGAGATACAAGTGGAAAAGCCGAAAATTGACTAATTGCAAATTAGGTAATTAATACGAATGGATTTTTTACCCCAAACTAATCAAATCCGTGCACACTGGAGTCAAAAACAGCTACTGTAAAATACTTTATTTTCGCTGGAATTAATTTTCGCTGAAAAGGTTTTTTGGGCGTTTTGTATGGAATTTATTTTCACTGATTTTTGATGAGTGTAATGTGAAATATAGGAAAAAAAGTATATTCGCTGGATTTTATTTTCACGGAATCATCCCTTCAGCGAAAATAGCGAAAATAAATTCCAAGCGAAAATAAAGTATTCTACAGTATTTTAATTTTTAAAGATACCATAGTTGCTCTATTCAACATCTCCAATAAAAAATCACATTTCATGGACTATCATTAAAATATTATTTACTTTGAACGCAGTAAATATGCAAATGTTGTACTTTAAATACGATATTCAAATATGATAATCATCATTTAAATCATTAAGCATGCAGGTTCTAATTGGGGAACGAAATAGTATACAAAGTGGGGATATTAGGGTATATATATTTTCACCAAAAATTTCTCTTGGTTTGAGGCGTGACTAGAGTAAATAAAATGTGCATGTGAATTTACAAACGATGTAGGGTTGCAATGCAACAACTCATGTTGTATGTAAATTATGAGAAAATAATAATATTCCAATACTAAAATTCAGATAATAGACATAACCAATAGCTATCTACAAGTCACCTAACACCCATTTGTCATTTTCATTCAAACATTGACAAAGAAAAAAACCTCCTTATAGTAAAATTTATTTAAAACAAAAAAATTGTAATCTTGATGAGCGTATTTCTTCCTGTAAGTCTGATAGAATTGACTTACCCCTATCGCCAGCACCTTGCTTTCTGGCTAGTATCGAACAAAACTCTCCTTGCCAGTCACCTTGGCAACTAAAAACAAACATAAGGCAAAAACTGTAAGAACTATTAATGCATCACAAGAGGGCAGTGGACAAAATTATTTTAATCTGTATGTGTATTTGAGTTGAAGAAATTCAGGTTTACGCATAAGCCATATTGGTAACACATTCTGGTACCGTAAGGCCAGACTTTTATTATCCCTTGTATCGCAAACCCTCCGAATGAACAGGAGCCGAAAATGAAATAAAAATAAATTTTTATTTCAGCTTAATTTCTCGCGCCCGCTGACTTGTAAGCGCAAAAAATTGCTAAAAAAATATTATTTTTATCTTAATTTTTTTACTGCCCGCCGCATAACAAATCCAAGTTGCATTTTCGTGGGAGTATCATGATCAAAGTACCGAAGTCTCGCGCAGATGAGAAACAAGGTTATACATGGAATAAAATTATATTTAATTTCTTCTCTCCAATCAATTATATCACTTACAATTCTTTGAGAATCACACAAATCTAACAGGGAAAAAAAGAATTAATTTTATTTTTTTTCCCGCCCTCCTCAAAAAAATTGCCTTATAAAAAACCTGAGAAACAAGGAAAAAAAAAAAGTCTGGCCTAACTGTTACTGACAATATATTTCAACATTTGTTTAACAGTTAATGTTTGTTAAACATTTGGGGAGAAAAATTTTCAGTGATCAAGATTTTCTCGACTATAAAAATCAAGGGCAATATTACGAGTTGTTTTAGATAAATTAAACAATTTAGCGAAAATTAAAAATGTACCAACCATAAATTTGACATCAAAGACAGACGAGATGACACACGAATATCTGAATATATGCTAACTGATTTCATCTTGAGAAAAATAAACCCTAAATTTCTGATTCAAGCAAAATTTCAACCTTTTGTCATCTTTGACATTTCCCTCAGGGCCTTCGGTAACAGAGACTTTCGTTAAATTTCAATCATCAAATCACAGAGATCCTCGCAACAAAATGATTTACAGAAAATTGTCCATTTCGAAAATACTGTTACGGTACATCTCCCACAATAAATTGCAATAAAAATAGACATTGCAGCATAAATAATTTTTTCCCCCTAAAACATGAATTTCATGTATCCCACACAACAAATACATATTTGTGAATAAATTGTTCACAACAAAACTGGACTGTGGTATTTTTGCTTTGTTTTGATTATTACACTTACACACACACTATAGTATCATTGACTAAATTATGACATAGTCCACCATTTTGACACTGACATCGATAAGGGTCCTCCCTAGCTGCTTCTTTGGCTGAAAATTTAAATAAAACAAAAATAGATTTACTTTATTCAAGTGACTATCAAGTGTACATAGATTTGATTATTGTAATAACAATTTACACCTGCAGTTAAAAGCTGGATTTCAGAAAAAAAATTCCATAAAGTCATAAAAAATGTGATTTATATAGTTTTAGTATTCAAATATTTTAAAATTTTGCAGATATTCTAGATTCAAATCAAAGATGATGACGCTTAAAGAGGTTCAAGCCAAATTAAATCATCCCATTAGAATACCAAAAATGAAATACACAAATGGGGTAACCAGAAGATTTTTGAGATACAAGAATCTAAAATCATGGAAAATTGTCATTTTTACACTCTGGTTTCTAGAGTGACAATATTTATTCGTATCTCAAAATTTTTTTATGGTGATCTCGACAAAATTGTTAACGACATTGGCGACAACAATGACATACATGTTACAGGCTACATAGCATAAGCTAACCAGGATGCATCAGAAGGTCTTTAAAACTTAAAAAAAAATATGCTCACAGCTGACATCACTGAACATAGAGTTCAGGATTGGCACAATACTGGACCTAAGAATTGCAAACTCAATAAATTCCTCTGAAACTATACTTACGTCCTTGGCATACTGTGTAGCTATTTATCATGAAATTATCTCCGTTTGGACAAGCACATCGATAACTGTTAGGAACTAGTAAACATAGATGGCTACATTGACCTGCTTTACAACGTGATGTTTCTATATAGAAAAGATACATGTATGATTATTAAAATTGTTTATTTTATATACAGACAAGAATATTAATCAACAATGCAAGTGCATTGAATATTGTCAGCATAAATTCAATATTAACTACAGAATCATTCATTTTTAATAGTCTAAAACTTTGTTTCCTGACATGTACGATTCTTGATTTTTCTACAATGTTGATGGTTACTGTATTTTAACGCTTAATTACTCGAATAAACAGGATCTTATTTACTTATTTACCGTACAAGTCATCCCAACCCAACTGAATGCAAAAAACTATTTTGTTATCGCATAAACTCACTTTGTTTATGAAAAACATTTCATAACTAATATTACAGGATGGATCTTTGTGCCCTTGTACCCCCCTAACAATGGGTAAAATATATCCTATACTTGGGCACAACAACCATATTCGATCAGTTAAAAATGCCCAAAATACAAGCCCCAATCATGTGGAAAAGGCAAAAGCAATTGTTGTGCAAGTTCATGCAAAGAAAGGAAAACAATAATATGCTGTCATGATTAAACATGAACTTACCGTGTGGATACCTGACAAAATGATGAATTTTTAACGAGACGGGTAGAGTTAAGTCGCCAGCAACCACTGTAGGAATACCTCTTCCAAGTTTGTCACTCTTCATAACAGAAGTGTCATTGGTCCAGTACAGAAAGCCTTCAAACACGTCAAGGTAGTAAGGGTTGCCCAACAGTGCTGGAACAAATCATGTACACATTAGCCATAATTGTAATTATTTACGTTACATGTATTATAACATTACATGACACTATATGAAGTTTTTCTGGTGGCTTTTACAAAGAAGTTAATGAAAGAAATAACCTGGAGTAATAGCACATGTAATAGGATATTAAACTGAGGAAATGCTACAATTGGTACAATATTATATATGAACTGCTAAAAGTATGCTAAGTTCTATCTATTAAAGCCAAAATTCAACATGCAGAAATGTGTCAGGTATGATTTTGAGTATCTGGAACAACATCTGTAGGAAGATTTTGCCAAAGCTACAATAATAATAGATAATTGCATTACAGTGCCCTCATGAATCAGTTAGTTGCATTCCTCAGTAATAGTTCTATGTTGAACAGAATAGCTTCAAAACATGGTTCACTTATATTGGAGCTATAAACGTAAATGTCTCAAACAATTATGCTATGAAGAAATTAAGAACTGCTTGACAAACAAGATTTGAATGCTTGTCATTATTTCTACTGCATTTTAAACAGCACCCTCTATCATGTTTAGTGCTAGAACTGACTGCTCAGACTGACTGGAGACTAAAGTTTTTTTTAATACATAAGGTGAACTTTAAATTGCTGAAAGTTTATCTACATTTATGGATGAGCAAAGGTAAAAAAAATGTAGCATTATATTATACATCTATAAGAGAGGCAAGAATATTATATCGATTAATTTTGCTTGTTTATAATAGCATATTATTATATTAAAAGGAAATAAACCCTTAAAACAGAAAACTGAAGATATTATCATGGAATGAACTAGTATCCAATATCAAATTGGTAGCATAACTATATCTATAACAATAGTTTGCTAAGAATAATATTTATGCATATTAATGAGGTTACATATATTTTATGCATATTAATGAGGTTTAATGGAAATGTAATCAAATTGTGAAACAAAGTAAAGTTCCACAGTAACTCACCAAATGATACTCATATCAAGCTTGACTGAAATCATCTAATAGCTGCATGTACATGTGACAATATGCAAATTTATTTTAAACAAGCAGCCTGTCGGCTGAGATAGCTCCACTGTTAGCAGGGCACATTACAATTAAAAAATAACAATATGTATAGTATCAAAGCAATCGGACTTGCTGTTTTCAACAAGAATTCAGAAATATCACTTTTTACCAAAAAAGACAAAAATAATCATTAAAATTAGAGAATTGAAGATATCATCATCAAATGAACAAATCTGAGAGAGGTCTACCCAAGGTACATATACACTAAGTATCAAAGCATTCAGACTTGTTTCCAAGAAGAAGTCGAAAAAGTAAAAAGTTGACACAGACGACGAAGGACAATCACTCATATGATCAGCTCCATTCGACAAAGTCGACAGCGGAGCTAAAAATCATGACCAACATGTTGAACACATTTAACTGGGTATAACACAAAACAATGTTTCATAGCAACCCACTATGTGTATGATGAGTTGCCAGAAATTGTACAATTACACACCCACCCAGAAACACCACTCATCCTACAAGCAGCTGAGCGAAAGTCAAAACTTACGTCCTGATTTCAAAACTTTACGGTTACTGCCATCGTAGTTCATTGTCTCAATCAAGTTTTCTTTTTTATCACACCAGTAAATTCGATCTCCATTCGCAAAATCAATAGTGATTCCCGTTGGTTCAACAATTTGATCTGACACAAGGACTGTACGATTCTGGCCATTCATCCAAGCAGCTTCAATTCTAGGAGATAATCCACTGTCCACCCAATACATCCAGCTGTGGTGAGAACAAAAATATCAAAATTACTAAATGATTTTTTCAAGCCATTACCACATTGTAGATTTCACTTATAGTTAGGTACATGACTCAACATTGGAACTGCTTGGATAATTTGCTGGCTCAGAAAGAGTCAATGGCTAGTCTGCTAAATATTGTACTTGCTTATGCATCTCTAAACATAGTTAAACTATACATGGTCTGTAAATTTAAGGGTAGGCAGATCATAGCATAGGGTGGGGATGGAAATATTATTACATATGTGGGGCAGCATAAGATTGAGAGATGGACTACAAAGGGTCTAGCATGAAATTGAACGCATGCATGGCTTTCCACTTGCAAAAGCAAAGGCCCCAATCAATTCACTATTAAGTTTCCCCATTACACACTATATCCCTTTTAAAAAAAGAAAACTTTCAAAAATCACCAAAAATACAATTTTTGAAAGATCAATTGTGAAATCGATACCGGCTAACTATATTACAGATTAACCACATATACAAGTTTGATAATGATCGGTTGAATATTATTGAGTTATCATGTCCCCAAGAAAGTTTACGACAACGCTGGACATTTTACCACTGATAAAACTTTCCCTTCACTTCATTACGGGCAATCCAATTAAAGCACAAATCATGTACACCAATTAATTGTCAACTAGATCATTTTAATATTACCTATTTAACCAATAGCACACCTCGTTCTTTACCAAGTAATGATATGATAATGAGAATTTGTAATTGACATATACTTATTAATAAATATTATGGATATTGTTATTGACTTTCTACTAGGAATATATGGGTCACAAAATTACCTTTTTTACCGTTTCACCACCAGACTTTCTTGTGTCAAATTTGTTTGCACCTGTTACTCATATTCTTCATTATTTCTAGAAATGAACCCTAATTTTGGAACCGACAGACGAAGAAATAGTCAATTTTCAGTTTTTATTCAAAAGATTTGGCTATTTTTGTCCCAATCTTCTTAAGGACTAAAAACAGGACTAAATTGTAAATTTGTGATGAAAAGAGGGAACTGGTGGTGAAAAGGTTAACCCTGGGAAAGTCAACATTTGCACCTTTTGCAATACAAAATACAAAATACAGAAAACCTTTTACCATAATAATAATGCTGGCACAGGAAAAAAAGATGGAGACTATTAATGGGTGAAAGCAATTTTAAACTTATTCAAGTACACTTATGTTAAAATAATGCCACATCTAAACCTCACACAGCAATCAGACACTCTCTAAAATGAAACGTACCCTCTTCTTGGATTCACCACGATGGCGCCAGGTCGGCCGAGTCCTGTACTGATCAGAGTTTTCTGATATCGCCCATCCAACATAGATACCGAAATTTTAGGCAATGTAGTGTCATCACCAATGTCTGTCCAGTATAATAAACTGAAAGGGAAGAAGGAAATAACAGCTACTGATTGGTTAATAAGACGCACACTCCATGCTTTATGTTTAGTTTATTGGCCTGTGAAGCGCATACAAATTTAAAACAACCAATAAACGTCAGTCCATGGGAGGCATAGTCAACACATTCAGCACGAAAACTTGTATACTAATTTGGGTAATCTTATCACATACAAAAAAATGTATTACTTTTCCCATTTTTTTTTTTAAATGTTGATCAAGAACAATTTTTCCATTAGGTCAGCAAGGTAAACGTGTCACAAAAATCTGAGCACAGGGCTATAACAAAAGAATGAAGAAATACTGTGGAATACTTTATTTTCGCTGGAATTAATTTTCGCTGAAAAAGACTTTTGGGGCGTTTTGCTTGGAATTTATTTTCACTGATTTTTGGTGAGTTTAATGTGAAATGTAGAACAAGCAGCCTCTCGACTGAGATAACTCCGCTGTTAGCAATGCACATTTCAATTAAAGAACAGAAGATATCATTAGAAAATGAACAATATGCATACTATCAATGCAATGGGACTTGCCGTTTTCAACAAGAATTCAAAAATATAATTTTTAACCATAAATGATTGTGGTTTTTAGCAAGAAGAAAATATCACTTTTTACCAAAAATGACAAAAATATTCATCAAAATTAGAGAATTGAAGATATCATCATGAAATGAACAAATTTGAGAGTGTTCCATATGTAGTATCTATATATGTAATATCTGAAAGCAATTGGACTTGTCGTTTTTAACAAGAAGTCGAAAATATCACTTTTTACCAAAAATGACAAAAATATTTACCAAAATTAGAGAATTAAAGATATCATTACAAAATGAACAAATCTGAGAGAGGTCCACATGTAGTACCTATATATGTAATATCAAAGCAATTGGACTTGTGGTTTTTAACAAGAAGTTGAAAATATCACTTTTTACCAAAAATGACAAAAATATTCACCAAAATTTGAAAATTGAAGATATCATCATGAAATGAACAAATCTGAGAGAGATACACATGTAGTACCTATATATGTAATATCAAAGCAATTGGACTTGCGGTTTTTAACAAGAAGTCGAAAATATCACTTTTACCAAAAATGACAAAAATATTCACCAAAATTAGAGAATTGAAGATATAATCATGAAATGAACAAATCTGAGAGAGGTCTACCCAAGGTACATATACACCAAGTATCAAAGCATTCAGGCTTGTAGTTTTCAAGAAGAAGTCGAAAAAGTAAAACATTGACACGGATGCCGGACACTGCCGGACAATCACTCATATGATAAGCTCCGCTTGACAAAGTCGACAGCGGAGCTAAAAAAAAGTATATTCGCTGGATTTTATTTTCACGAAATCATCCCTTCAGCAAAAATAGCGAAAATTAATTCCAAGCGAAAATAAAGTATTCTACAGTAGTTTATTATTTTAAATTAACCTTTTCACTACCGGACTTCCTCGCCCAAACTTTTCTGCATTTTTTTCTTATAATAGTCAATATTCCTGGAAATGAACCCTAATTTTGGAGCCAACAGACCAAATTTTTTTGTCCCAAACTTCTTAAAAAAGTGCAGACTAGTTTGCGAATTTGTGTTGAAAAGAGGGAGCTGGTGGTGAAAAGGTTAATCGCATCACATCACATCAAATCAAATCATATGTAAAGCAAAAAAATAGCAGGATGTCGGCCATATTCATAAATATGATATAGAATATAGCTGGTACATGATTTCATAGAAAGTGAGCATGTTTATAAATCATTGTATATTAATTATACATTCAAACCGTACCCTTCTACCCAATCAACTGCAATTCCTTCCGGTCTGATTATGCCAGTGATACCCAGGTCTTGTGAGAATCCCACCTGTTCTGTCAAGTATGGTAGATAAGAACGCTTTACTGTCTGCAGTGAGGTATCTGTCCAGTAAACAATTGCTGAGAAGAAATTGGATGTTATTAGGATGAGGTCATGAGATTCAGATAACAAATAATTATATGTGCATACCGGTAATTAATTAGATATATGCATAATTAATGAGGTCACAACGAGTTTCAGCTCACAGTATTTATGCATCACAGCAAGTAAGATTTTAAGCATTTTAAATTGAGTATTGCAATAAGCTGAATGTTTAATGGAGCTTTACAGTTGTATGTTTTTATCATGGACTTTTCTTTTTTCTATTGTGCGCCAATGACAAAGATGCATTAAAATTACACAATGCTTTAACCTCACGCTTTCTAATTTGCATAAAAACTTACATTGGTTCCCATCAATTACATAGTAGTCCATTGCCCATGACCTTTTCTCTCCGGTGACAACATCCCCAAATCTATTCTGTTTTGGATTGTATCTTCTTATCTCTGGACCATCAGTATACATTAGGATCTCATCATCACCTGTGAAGAAACCAGGAAAACACATTCAATGAATGGGGTTACAGAGAGGTGTTCAGGTCACAGAGAGGTGTTTGGGTCACAGAGAGGTG